TTGAATAGGAGTAGGCAAGCCTTATTTATAACGATAAGTGTGAAAGGTAAAAGAAAGTGGTTCGAAACTAAGATCAGACAGCTAAGGCCAGGCGCATATAGGCGACTTTGAGTCTAGCAACAGTTGCCCAATTAATAGGGGGACTGATGTGCAACTCACTCGAAGTCTCTGAAGTCTAGACAGTTGGGAAGGAGTGTGCTCACAGAAAACTGTTTAAGACGTAAATCGGACATTACAGAATGGATTTCAGTGATACAACAACAGTACATATTGATGTTTTGTACGTGAAAATACCCCCGCCGCAGCAAACCTGCAGACTAAGCGAATTTCCATATGCCTGATTGGATTTTCACTAAAATGTCTACTTAAAAATTTAACATTTATTTCCTATTTAAATAGAATTAGTTTAACAGGTACTTAGGTTTGCCGCATCACGGAGGGTAAAACTGATTTTTTTGTAAAATGTTAATAGTTAGTAAGAAATAAAAACATTTTCCAAATTTGATCAAAATATGTTCATAAACAAGCAAACTACAACAGTTTACTTATTCTCCATAAGAATAACATGGGAATTTAAAATTTACATTTTTTTGGAATTTTCTCCGTAACCATTAGGCGCATAGTAACACTTCAATATAGTAAATTATTTGTTTTTTTAAGCTCTATAAAATGGTTTGGAAAGATTTTGCAAAATTTTATGATTTTTGGGTCAAAAATGGGAAAAACCTATTTTTACCCCATAAAACCCCCCGTAAACCCCCGTTCCCATAGTCCGATCATGCTGGTTCGCGAACTCGTTCAAGTTTATCCCGCCTTACACCTTCAAACCAAATTTTATCAAAATCGGACAAAAATTACTCAAGTTATCGTGCGGATGGACACATATATATATATATATATATATATATATATATATATCTATATATATAGATATATAAAAATTTGAACGAATGGTGTTTTTGGCCTCTGGGGACATCAAAATGAAAAAGTAAATCGGTCCCGGGCCTAGGTCTTACCATGAGACCTACGGTAATAGCTACTTCCCTATAGGGAAATTCGCTAAAAAGAAGAGGATTAGATTGTTCCAATCTTTTGTAACTGCAAAGGATACCTTCTCACACAACTTCTTCATCAAATTAACATCAGAATAGTTTTCAATGCCTTCTCAACATGCACACTACTCATACTTAATAATATACTTTTTCCAAACAAACTTTACACAACAATTAACCAAGAGTGTGAAAACAAGTGACGGTAGCCGACTGAGACTGAGCGACACTAGTTGTATGTGTGTGCGTCTAGATTTGTTTCAATGGATTGGATACCAATCCTTGAGCTACACTCCCGTGACAATTGAGTCGCGGAGCTGTCTCTGGTAAATTTGGCCCCGGAACGGAAACAACAGTTGCCCGACTGTAAATCGAATGTTTCCTTGGTGTGCGCACTCCAATTTAAAACAATGGTGAACACTTTGGTTGACTAACTGTTGCTACACTCAGTCGCCTGTGTGCGCCTAGTCTAAATGGGTTACCTATCTAATTACAGTTTTTAAATTACCCAAAGTAACTTAGTTCTTAAATTGTAACAATAACAAATACAAACAACATGGCTCCTGATGCAGTAATGCTACAGACAATAGTGTAAAAAGGTGTTTCATAAATGCATCTTATCTATTTGGAAATAACCTGAAACATTGTCATTTGGTCTTTTCCAGAACCAATCAATGGATTTGGATAGATTTTTATTCAATTTATCTAGGATTTAATCCAAAAATAGTTTTGGTTGTGGACCTGATGTACAGTACTGTAGTTACGTACAATAAAAGTATTTGAACTATATTTTTATCATACATTTTGTAAACCTTTTTTAATTTGAATAGTCTCGTTACTATAATGCTTACAAATAAAAAAGTGATTATGAAACTTGTTAGTACCTATGTAAAATAGTTGTGTTAATTTACTGTTAATAAATTTCTATTTCAAGAGAAATTCGTAATTAGTTTTAATTTTTGCTTTACTTCATAATTTCAAAACAATATCCCTGTAATCCTAATGTTCTGTATACTGATGTAGCCTTTACTGAATTAATTGTATGTACAATTTGTTGAAATGTTTAAAAAAGTAGTATTTGACATATGTGCTTTACATAATTTTTCACAAGCATTAATAAGTTGGTAAATGTATAGTCCATACAAAGTGAGGATAGAGGATATTTAAGCTTACAAAATACTGTAGCAGCGTATATTTCATTACTAGGACCAAAAGTGGCATTTTCCGGCGTGTGGTCAAGTTTCATGTGTGACCAAATTTCAAGTGCGAGGTGAAGCCGAGCATGTGCAGTGGCGGTTCCACAGGGGGGGGGGGCGAAGGGGGCGACAGGCCCCCCTCAGGCATGTACATATACATATATTTTTTTACTATTTGTAATACAGTAGCATACAAATTGCGAAAAATAATTTGTCACATCAACTTTGGACAAAGAAATGGTATAAAACTGCCATGTTGGGGACTTAGTATACACAATTTTTTTCGGAGGGGTACCCCCAAACCCCCCTAGGTCCCCTGGTTTGCCCCCCCTCCTTGTGACTGTTCTAGATCCGCCACTGAGCATGTGAGAGTTATTTTCACTTACAAGGTGAAAATAAAGGACGAGTCCACTGGAGCAAGTGTTGCAAAATGCTTTTGGTACGAGTTATATGAAAGATACTTTTCATGACGCAAAAATACAAACATACAGATTAACATTCCTCAGTAGTATTAAAGTAGTTTTAGGCCACTCTTTATCTTTGAAATCTACTTCACATATGGTTTCATGATAATGGATTTTTTCTGATTAATAACTACTTTCTCACTTACATATTACTTAGCATATTCTGTAATTTGCACCCGTTAGTAAAGTTTCTGTAATCCTCCTCATATCTTTCCCCTGATTTCTCTGGTGGAAGTAGGCCTAAGTGATTAATTACCTCTGAAGCTGTTTTCATCAAATCATCGTGAAAGTTAGATGATATTAGGCAGTTTGAGCTATTTCAAACAAGCACAGTACCAATGAATACACAAACTCATTGACAGTACTAAAACACAGCAAAACAAACGCCTGTTTCTGTCCCTTCACTGAGCTATCCTCAATGGTTTCTGTATACATTTAGATTGTACAACAATGAAAATATAGCTTATTCATGAAAATAAACCTAACAAAACATTAGCGCACGTAGTGGATAAATGGAGAACTAATCGAGAGGTCGAGCGGAAGTAAATTTAGAGAGACGGAAAATGATGAAAACCCCTATTTTCGTGACTATAGTTCGGCCGCTTAGAAAACGACCCCCTCCAGCAGTGGCGGCGATTGGGCTTGAGAGGTGGGGGGGGGGGCGAAATCTTGATTTATTGTTGATATAATTCTATTTTATAATTTTAATAAATATTCCTTATGAAAGTGGGGGGGCAACTGCCCCCCCTGGCCCCCCCTAAACGCCGCCTCTGCCCTCCAGCATTGGTTTAGCATAAGCGCGCAGGTCGTTTTCTAAGCGGCCGAACTATAGTACAAGAGAGTCAGCAAAAGAGTCCTAACAACACCTAACAACAATGTTTACCAACAAAAATAAATAATCTAAAACGAGCATATTACAATATTACAGTAATACAGAACAAAAGGGGCGTAGAACAACTAAGCGGATAAATACCGTTGAGCACAATTTACTACAAAATTAACAACAAAAAGTAGCAGCTAATATGACTATAAAAATAAATATTTAGGGATCGATTAGCTGAATACAAAAATTTAACAAATTCTTTTAATAATATAGATTAGGCTTAGCACCATTGATTTGACTTAAGATATTAACATAAAACAGATTGCTTGTAGGCACGTGTGTAATGTGTATTGGACATTGGCATCACTGCTAAATCGATCAGCTTGCTAGAGCTAGTCCTGGTGTGCGAGTGCGAGTGCGACAAAGACAAATGAGTGCTGCAAAAGTAAGTAAATGCTGCAATTAGCTATTTTGCGTGCTTTAATCAGTCATGAAGGGGAACGCGCAAAGGCCGCGTCCATCAAGGTCAGCGTCAGCGACCAGCCGAGGAGCCGACCACCAACCTGACCCACGATTTGTGGTGTGAAAAGACTCCGCAAGGAAGCCTGCTTTGTCAGGTTGTAAGAAATAGTTATTTTTGTAACTAGTGGGCGAAGTTCGTGTTACAAATATAAGTTATTTCTCCTACAGTTACTATAAATCATATTAACTAATTAGTCTTTCAAACACTGTACAACACGTTTTTAGGTTTGGTTAAATCCAAACTTTAAACGAACAACGAAATGGGAAACGCTGCACCAGCTGATCGTAGGCGTGATATTTTTAAGTGTTGCCAACTTATTTTTAAGCGTGCACGGATTACGGATTAATAAAAGCACGCTGTTTTTTGTTGTTTGGCTAGAATACTGGTGTTCGCCAAAGTTAACATTCTATCTGTACAATCTGTACCATACTTCCTTCTACACTGTAACCTATCCCTTAGTTCGTTAATTGTTTCAGTTTCAGCCGGGTTTTCCTAGACGCGGAAGCGGAGAGCGGAGAGAGGAACGCGGAGAGCGGACTCCACTTGTCTTAGGCAATTTAATGTTACTGTTTTCCTAGAAGCGGAGCGGATCGCGAATGCCATGTTAATTTCAATTCCGCTCTCCGCGTTCCTCTCTCCGCTAGCCGACTCCGCGCCTAGGAAAACCCAGCTTTAGTTATTTAGTAGTGTCGCTAGAGCTCGTTTGTACTGCATAAACGTATGTTAAATGTATCGAATGTAATGTTAAATGTATCTGTTCTATCGTTCTATCTGCTTTATTTAAATCTGTCTGTGCAAGGAAGGAAGCCTAAAGTGAAGTGGAAGTGAGTAAGTAGAGTAGTGAAGTGACTGAAAAAGACTGAAGTGAGGTGATTGGTATTGTCGCTGTCGAATGTCGATGTCGATTCAATTCAATCCAATCTCAATATTCTCAATGTTTACATTATTTCATTTTCACAAAATTGTAAACCGATCATCCAGACTTCTCTAGTAGAAGATTTTAATGTAGCTCAGCAAACAATATACGTACAGCATTCTTTAAAATGGTAAGCAAAATTTTTAACCCAATTAGTAAATTAAGTTTTCACCTGAAGAGTTAACTCCTCTCTTAACCCAAGTAAGTTAGACTTTGTAGGTTAGACTTTTGTTTTGTGGGTTTTTTTAAAGGGGGCCAAACAAACTAGCGATGAGCATAGATATGTCAACCACTATGGGGTAAACTTCCGTATCTGTAACAACCGAATGAAAATATTGATTAAGTTATTCGATTGTTTCATTCTAACTTAGCCTATATAAGGCTGTAAGATTTTCTTACAGGTTAAGTAAGCAAGGTTAAGTAAGGTTGACCTTACTTAACTAACCAAACGATAGGCCTATATCGATCAATATTTTAATTCGGTTGTTTTTGACAACAGATAGGGAAGTCTACCCCACTATGTTCACCATTGATAGTTACATCGGCGTCAACCATCGATGTACCGATAACATAATTGCGAAAATATTATGTTTTTCAGTAAGTTATTTGGTCTGCTCACTGTAAGTACTCTCCAGTAATAGAAAACATTGATATCTCAATACTTGGCCAAAAACATCGGTAAGCTACCATCAATGTAGCCTATAAGTAACTTAAGCTAAAACATTGAACAAAAAAGAATAGAAAAACATCGATATTTTGAAAGCTTCGACTATCAATGCTCATCCCTAGGCGAAAATTGTCCTATTAGGCTACTTAGTTTTGTTTTTGGTGTAAGTTTAGTTTCCAGAAGGTATGTTGTTTTGAGTTTAACATAGAATTTTTCAATATAAGATAGGCCCTAAGTTAATTTGCTCCATGTTTAGCAGCCAAAGACAAAATGAAAATAATGACAAAATGATATCATTTTGTACTATAGTAGTCGTTATGGCGGGATTAAACTAAATAGGTAGTGAATACTGTACTATCCTGTTAAAGGGAACATTCATTATTATCGATGATTTCTTTTCGATATATCGATATTTTATTTTTCTATCCGATATATTGATAATAACAAATTGAAACATATCAGCTGACATGGCTTTATGGGTCAACGATGAAATGATTAGGTTAGTTCATAAGAAGAGGCTAGGCCTCAAAAACAATCCCGGGCTCGTGCCTAGCGTCCTAGGACAAAAAAAAAAAAAAAAAATATTGACACTCCAGTTATTTGTTATATTTACTAGTAAAGCATTAAAGTTAGAAAGGTCTATTTGTAAAGATTTTATAATTAAGTTACATTGTTTACTTTTACAATAATAAAGTTGTACAAACCAACTAACAACGGTAGTTCTCTTTCACTTTTAATTATTGTTTTTAGGCAAATTTGCTAAAGGATGTAACACTTAATGACAGTCAACCGAAGACTTTACTTCTCAAGAAACATATAGAGTATATAGCTGCCTATGGAACTAACAAAGATGAATATGTAAGTAGAGTCGGGACCACGTAAGTTTGCAGTTGGCGGCAGCCAATCACAAGACAAGGCTAGTGTGACGTTGCCACATCACCCTTTGACAACACTAATTAAAACATACTAAGCAATATTTTCAAATCAGCTGGTATTATTAGATTTGGCAACACCGCACGGTTCTCATTGGTTCATTCAAAACCATATGGTAGATAAGCTCCTCCCTCAACTGCAAACTTACGTGGTCCCGACAATAGTAACCTATTACTCGTGTATTAGCCTAACTAATTTTTGGTCAATATATTAATGTAGCCTACCTATAATTTCTTTAGGCTGTTTTATTTTGCCAACACTCATTTTGTGCTTTGATAGCCAGTGCTTTGATAGCCAGTGCCACAATATGACCGGAGACAGCTCAGAATAATAACTTTTCATAACTGTCACAATTTGATGGGCATTAAGTGTATAAACAGCTGTTATCGTTTGTGCTTTGTTACACATTGGCACTAATTGCCTAGCTAGTCTTATATTACCTTTGACTTGTTTGGTAACTAAATACAAACTGGCCATTCTCATGGTGGAAGGAAAATACATAGGTGTGATACCGTAATTTGCTGACGTCACCCAGATTGCTAACAGAAAATCACCTGATTGTAACTACCATATAAGTATATATTTGTTTTAAATTGATTGTTAAAATTGTTTAATTTTATTTCTAATGAGTGAAATGGCGTTTGTAATCTGAGTGACTTCAGCATATGACAGGAGTATTACACCTATGTTTTTTCCTTCCACCATGGGCCATTCTAGCTGTGGGTTTAGTATATCACGTTACTAGCCCGGTAAGTGGTGTTTTACCGTACGAGCATGACAGTTGCCGTTCAATTAGCTGTTTATTTCATCAGCTGACTAAGTGCAAAGTACATAACGTTACTTTTCCGAGTAGGCACGGCAAAGGGCAACTTTCCAGCCTATCAATACGGATGGAAAAGTACCTTGTTTCTGTGTAGTATGATGTAAACATGTTTACAAAACAGCCCTCCTCACGAAAATGGATTCCCAGGTGGCGACCCTACTGTACAGACAAAATATTGAATTTCTTATTGAAAGTAAAGGCTTTCAAGGTTGGTTTGTTTGTAATGGAAACTAATCAAATATCTAAAGCCCAAGGACAATCAGCGCTTTGTGCGAAGTAGGTAAAAGGCCTTGGAGGTTTATTTTACCTGTGCTTCAGTCATTTGAATCTTTGTAAGATTAGATGGGCTGTAATAGTTTGCTGAATGGGTTTACAATTACTACTTTTACCTTTTCAGACCTTACGTGGCTGTTATTGTTCTTGCTATCATCAATTGTGATGGGCCATTTCATTGATAGTGGCTTTGTTTATCATAGGAATACTGCATGACAGAATACCTCCGTATGTCTGGCATGTATTGGGGCCTCACCGCCATGTCCCTCATGAACAGTCTGGCTCAGATGGATCGTCAACAGGCATGTACTAAATTTAATCCCTTTTTTATTAGCGAATTCCCCTATAGGGAAATAGCTATTACCATAGGTGATAGGATCTAGGACCTAAGCCCGGGACCGATTTACTTTTCATTTTGATGTCCCAAGAGTACTTGACAAAAACAATACTTTCTCCATAAACTATGGTAGGTATAGGGGGAGAAAGTAAAAAAAAATGTAAATTAAAATTCCAATGTTATTTTTATGGAAAATAATTAAACTGTATTTGTAGGAAATAAATAATAAATACATTTACCAAATTTGATCAAAACATGTTCATAAACAAGGAACATTTAGCATTAGTAGGGCTCTACCATGTGTTAGGCCCTAACAATACTAATTTTTGAATGTTATTATCCATCATTGGTTTATTTGATTAATTTACTTAGTTGGTTAACATGTTGCCTACCAGCCACCACACTCCTCTGTATGAGGGGTTTTGTGTGACCTGACAGTAAATGTGTTAAGCATAGTTCACATAACTTACCAGTGCATTTGTCTACAGGTGGTTAGTTTTCTCAAGCAATGTGTAGACGACAGTGGTGGCATTAGCGCCAGTGTTGGGCACGATCCTCACCTGCTCTATACTCTCAGTGCTGTTCAGGTCTGTTTGCATTGCCTTTCACCTAGCTAAACTATTTACTTATTTATTGCAGTTTATATATTTTTCTAAGACTCTCTATTTACCTCATATACTCGATAATTCATTGAGCTCGAGTGGGACTAACCCTATAAAGCGTTCTTTAATATTTGTTGCTTCAGTTTCAAAAATATTTGATTGCTATAGGCCTAATTTGATTGTACAGTGTTGGGAAGTCACTGAGTCGCAAAACGCCTGAGTTTCCTCTAGTGTGAAATTTTAACTTACTTAATATGGTCGGGTGTTTTTTTTTTTTGCATATTACAGTACAGTAGAACCACTCATATCCGACCACGACGGAACCAGGCCAAGTTTGAAACGGCAAAAAGTTTCTGCGCACAAACACTCCACAAGCAATACCCGTGAGCATATCTTATGGTCTCCGCGACATCGGTATAATCATCTATCGCGACTACGGCAACAACCACAAACAGAACGAACCTGTCTCGCAGACTCGGTACAGTAATTATCTCCCGAGACCGTGGCGGCACTCGCTTACATATCTTCTAATCTCGGTGACACTGTTAATCGTCTCCACGACCACGGCAACCTCCGCAATTATTGGTCTTTCAGTTAACCAAATGTATATGGTCGTTCGTATATCCTGAGGAGTTAGATATGTCAAGGTTGGATATGAGGGGATCTACAAATATGTCATAGCTTGACTGGTTTCAGATTGCATGTTTGTTGGACTGTGTGGATGTGTTACCGGTAGACAAGTTGGTTAGTTACGTGGTGAGCTTGCAGCAGCCCGACGGTAGCTTTGTTGGAGACAAGTGGGGCGAAGTAGACTCCAGGTTCTCATTCTGTGCTGTCAACTGTCTTTCACTCTTGGTGAGTGCCTTTCAGATTGTTTTTTTTATCCATTTTTAATATCTAAACTATTTGTTAGTTTAAAAATGACTGTTTTCCTAGCAAACCGTTTCTTATCATTATTTGTATTAAACTTTTCCTTTGGAGTAAATTTGAAGTTGGTGGGGTTATAAATTTACCTTTTGTTGATTCAGGGTCGGTTGGATGCCATTGATGTGGAAAAGGCTGTGGAGTTTGTGCTGTCGTGTCGCAACTTTGATGGTGGCTTTGGCTCTCGGCCGGGCTCCGAGAGTCATGCAGGCCTAATCTACTGCTCTGTTGGCTTTCTTTCTATCACCGGTATGTTGAAATTTCTCCTTCAAAATAGCAGAAGAAAATCTTATGGTAGTGTGTTGCAGCTCCCACTAGAGTCTATCTGCTTGGAACATATTTCATTTGTGTAGTATTGTAAAACTTTGGCTCTTCTCTTATGAAATGTTTTGTAAAACCTAATATTATAAGTTATTTTATCTTGAAATTTATGAAAATATAACTATTTGTTAAACAATATGCTGCTACTGGCTGGTTTAGGTGAAATAATCAAATAATTTAAGCTCTACTGTATTTTGTCTTTAAAGGTCATCGCAAGTGTAATTTCGTAAGAGTTAAAAACCCTTGTAAGGGAAAGCTGTTCAAACCCAACCAGGTAACTTTTGTGGATATGCCGAGATTCAAATTGGTACTCCTTGTATTGAAGTACGAGATGCTAACCACTAGACTAGCAACAACTATTAGATGTTACTTTGGTATTTTGCTACTTTTAGGCAAGTTGGAGAGTATTGACGGAGACTTGTTGGGCTGGTGGTTGAGTGAGCGGCAACTACCCTCTGGTGGACTCAATGGACGTCCGGAGAAACTTCCCGATGTGTGCTACTCGTGGTGGGTCCTTGCCTCCCTCACCATGTTGGGACGGCTACACTGGGTACACAAACAGAGTCTACAGCAGTTTATTTTGGCTTGTCAGGTGACGTTTTCGTTGTCGTTAGTCATTTTCCCTTGTGTTTTAATATGTACACACGAGTGTGTTTCTTTTGTCCCAGTTGTACATGATATGGAGGAACAAGTTTTTGAATAAAAAAATCCAAACCTGTTGAATTTGTGAATGTGCTTATAAATTAAACCTCTCACACTGTCTGAGACGCTAGGCTATACACCAAAATTGTACTAGACAATGTAGGTGCCTGTTCTAACCAAATGGATCCAAACAAGCTATGTATGAGGCAGCACAATAGATCTCTGTTTGAAATTAAGACTAAAGAGAGGCTAAATTAATGTAGAGCTTATAGAAAATTATGGAAAAAGTACTTATAATTGTGGTGAGTAGGCTTACATACACATTTAATAATATGATATGGATAATGAGGGTGCCACTTCCATTAATGATGATGATCCTAGGTATGAGGTTATTTGCAAAAAATAGCTAAAAATACATGTTCTATCAGTGTTTTTGAGGGTGGTAGGGTAAAATAACAAATTTCCACTACTAAAGGTACCCCTCCCTTCAAAGTGTACTACTCCCCTCAAATGTTAGGGGAGGAAACTGGGAGGAAAGGTTACTTACCTTAAAAATTAGATTTATATTAATAAATAAACAATATGATATTGTTTATAGGTGTATCGATATGGTCATATCGATACGTTCCCATGTATCTATACAAAATATTTCCCAGTCCTTTTATCAATATCCGTATCGATACGCACATCACTAAATTATACTAATTGAGATTCGCTTAACACGTTCAGTGCGGCAGGCATTCCAACAGGCGCTCGCCAATGGCGGCGAGGCCCAGGCAAAGCCCCGGCGCGGTACCATAACAGCGAACGCAATTGGCATTCAAATATTTCAATCTGACGATTAACAAAAGAGCAGCGGCGATTGTACAACGTTACCCCGAGATTGGACGTAGTTCCCTAAAACACCCAAAGGTAGCAGAACTGCCTGGATCAGTAGTCAGTGGCTTTGTAATATGGCTTGAAGAGAGAAAATTCCTGAAACCAAGACTAAAGCATTGTCAGATGGGATTTTACGGGAACTTGCAGTACCAACCTACACCAAAATAAAGCTCACATTCCCCAGCAATGGCTGAGCTCATACTGAACTAATGTAGTGGGGCTTGCGCAACTACATCAATTGATGTAATCAGTACTGAACGTGTTAAGCTGCAGGTTTGATGTGGCGGGGGTTATTTATGATGCTTGTTTGTAATTTAAAATATCTTATTCAGGACGCCGAGACGGGGGGATTCAGTGATCGGCCAGGTGACATGCCAGATCCATTCCACACATTGTTCGGAGTGGCAGCTCTCAGTTTACTCGGCAACACGGAGTTGGCTCAAGTCAACCCTACGTACTGCATGCCTCAAAGCGTCATAGACAGACTGGGTCTGCGGCCACAACAACTTGTGGTTTAATACCAACATTAACGCAACTCAAATGTAAATCTACTTACTGAAATTCACCACCACTATAAGTGGACTGTGACTTTAAAGTTTTTTCAGTGTTTATTTATTTATGGTCATTGATCATACATATTATATAATCTCACAAACCAGTCGAGCCTATTATATAAAATAACATTTGTATTATTTAGTAAATAAACAAGTATTTGTGATGCGTTTTACCGTTTTACTGATAACAGCTGAAATATTTATATAGAATGTTTACTATATATTTCTTTGTAAACTATTGCAAAATAAATGTATTTACTTGTTTATAGTACAGGATTTTTCCTTCTCTTTAGCAATTAATTGAATTTAACTTAATTACATATTTTATGCAAAAATATATTAAGAATATATATATATATTTTATATTTTTTTTGCCATATTGAATTTAAATTATGTTTTTTCCAACAGTATTTGAGGAATACAACAATGTTAGTCGTTAGTCCTAACATTTTAAAATTAAGTTTGTATGAATGAAATTAACTGCCAGATTTATGCTAAATTGTATTTAAAGTTTGTATAAAATATTGGATTCAATATCAAGCTCTAAAACAGAAGTGCTTACCAGACAAATTTATGATTGAAATTATATGAACTGAAGTCTGTCCATTTCCACAGAGGTAGTTGTGTCGTGTTCGTAGTTAATGTTATGGCCAGCCGCATATTTCTCGTTAACGTTAACTTAATGTATCCGTGTGTGTTAAATCTTATATATACACAAATTTTGGGTATTTTGTCGACGTCATCATGTTTAAATAATTTTATGTTAGACAACAAGGGCCTGAAATGAAAGATTAGTTTGAAACTAGTCGCCCGAGACGATTGACGACGTAAACCTATTTTGTATGCTTATTCTTAACAATAATTTGAACATTCTGTAGTTTGATGCAGAAAAACATCTTTTGTCATGTAGGCCTAGATTATTTAGTTTCGTGTAGGGTAGGGTACTGACAGCACTCATTTCAACGATGATTTGAATTTATTTTCCCTACTTTTGTTATGATTCAATGAATATGGTAGTGAATAAAAGGTCTTAGACACTTTTAGTTGTGCAGGCATCTAATAGTCAAAAATCAAATCACGTGTAGTTATTATTTACAGTAGCCTGAGCTGTAGATGGGTACTAGTCAATTCTGTGTATAGTCAATGGTATTATACCATAAATAAAACCATTAAATATTGGATACTGAAGTAGACGTTCCATCTATATGGACCAGATGTAGCCAATATTTTGTTAAATAAGAACGTAGTTGTGTGAGCCAGTCAGTCACAGGTGACTAAAACTATTTTCTACCTTATTTTTTGTTGCTGGCCAAGTTGATGGGTCATAACAGTTGCTAAAGCTCACAATAAGTCATTGAACGCCGCTAGTCAATCGGTGCTAGTTTGAATTGATAGAAAAGGTTTTGTTTTCGACATAAATCAGTAATTTAGATCAGCACAAAACTGGCTACAAATTTAACATGGGGATATATTGTCTAGTTAGTTGTATTCATAGTCAAAGATAAAACATACTCCCTTGGTAGATTTTCATTCTTATGGAACAGCTGAAGCCAATCTTATTGTTAATTCTGTACGCACTGTAGAGGTCGTGTTTTATTTCCAATTTGTTTCTTGTTATTTTAGTCATTTAAAACTTTGTTAAGCCAAATAAAATTATCTAATCATAAATAATAACTGGTCGCCTTGTTATATAACCAAACAGTAGAGCACAAATCATCTAAATAACCCTAAAATAATATAAATAAAATTTCTTCTACACCAGTGATATCAGTGTTGAAGTACATGAACTAGACACGAAGAACAATCTTCCAAATTTAATGAAAAGTCTACTTGCGTTGCTCAGTCAATGACTATACCAACATGGGGACTCAAAAACAACTTAGGCTGTGGTTTCCTAGACGCGTTTTTTATCCATATCTTTATTTATCCACATTTTTTATCCAGGTCCCAAAACGCAGCTGCCGAGAGTGGTTTCCTAGACTGCGTACAATACACATGGTTGGTGCGTAACATAAGTTCATGGGAGAGATTACTAGTGGCTACTATGATGTTATACGATGATTTAGATAATGAAATGGATATTTTGGCATTAAGAGCTTTGAAGAAGCGTAAGCAGTGAAAAGTACATGTTAGGAACTGTACGTGGTCCTCTCACATCTTTTAACTGTAGTGTTAAAGCAAACATGTCAATTTAAAATGAAAACAATAAATCTTAATTTACCTTGTCAAACTTTGCTTTTACTGTTATTATATTTACCTATTCGGGATTTACCGAATCGATGAAAATACCTTTTACAAGTATAACTGCAATAATAATTTTATACTTTTACGCCAACTCCGTAAGAAGTTTGGGTACTATGGTACTATGCTAGTAATTAATATATAGTTATTACTAAGATGTTCAGGAGTTCTTAAAATAATTATGGGGGCACTTATATTTGGGAGTTGGTTGTGCTGACTTAAAAAGAATATTTGTCAGTATTAGGTTTATTTATTTATTTATACAGTAACAACAATAAGAAAATATGTGAGGACAAATTAATTGTAGGGAACATTTAGAGGATTAAATATTAAAATCACACATTATGGGGAAATTAACACACATAACGAATGATATGAAATATAATACTATAAAATTTTAATTGTATGAACAAAGTATTTCCATAATATGTCATTAGAAGAGACAAATTCAATCAATTTTTTCGTCGTTGGAGAATTTTGCCTTCTGTACAACATTTACTTCCGAATCCATTGTACAAGACATGTCTAAAACGCAGCGTAACTCAGATTCGAGTGCTCTGAGAGCAGTCGGTCAAATACGCAGCTATTGGACGCGTATTAGATGACCGCGCATTAGATACACAGCCTAGGAAACCGCTTACACAAAACTACATAAGACAAGTGTTCTGCGTCTTAGATGCGCACACGCAGCGCATCTATTACGCGTCTAGGAAACCACAGCCTTTAAGATAAAAAGAAAATAACCAAGTCAAAACGAAAACGTATATTTACAAACTATTGTACAGACACAATCACTTACTATTAAATAAACCTATGTACAAAGAACTGATTTTGCTTTCTTTTAATATCCTTTTTTTCCACGAAACCTTGTGCGATTGTCAAGCTGGAAAATAAAAAGAATAATCATTAAAATGCACATATTTTTATTAGCAACACATATTGTTATAGGCCTACTGCCATTCGTAAAATTTAGGCGGTTTGAGAAGAAGTTCCCCCACTACTTAAAAAAAAATCAATGTACCATGCTGCAGCTGATTGACATTTTGGCAAACCACAGCTGTTGAATATATTGTTTTAAAGGTATGATCAGGTGGAGGTGATAGACTTCTTATCCCAAACTGCCTAAATTTTGTGAACAAAGTATACGGTAGGTGTTTAAGTTTACTAATTATTTAAAGAAAAGAGTATTAAAAGTGTTAGCCTATGAAAAAAAAACATGATAATCATTATGACTAAAAATAATTTAGGGGTAGTTTTTATTTTGATGGTATGTAAAAGTTTTACGTTAAAAAATATATCTCGGTAACAAAAAACACTCCAGAAATGAAAAATACAAGTCATAAGATACCCTTCCACTTATTTTATAAAAAAAAAATAAATAAAAACTCAACTTAAATACTTTCTTATTAAATGGCGACCATACAAAGTAGGACGTTAATCCACACCAGGGAGTATCGCATCCACAGTGCATGCCTATAAATATCCACAATTCGTGACCTCCTAGTTGCTGGATTACAAGACGACGCCACCCGTCCCATAACTCTCAGAGCTATATCAGCAACTCTAAAATGAGGTATTTTAATTTGTTTTTACTGTCGAATTTAGTTTTGCAACTAACAGAGAGTGGTAAAATGGGTGTTAGTTATTACTGTGACATAGGCCTAGCCCAAGCTTGGAACATAATCAGAAGTCGATGGTGAATTCTTAAACAAAAGTTCATACTGTTCTTTTAACCCTGACAGTGTGTTTTTAATGCTCCAATAATAATATTGTTTTAAGGTTCTCTGTTAATATGAACTTAAACAATACATTCTTACCATTGATCTCTTGCACTCAAAGAATAAGGTTTGGAGAGCAAAACATTCTTGCGGCACTCGAGGGTCTTTTGATTCCAAACATTCCCTTGGAGTTTTCTTTCTCTAAAAAGGTCATAATATTTCTCTTAAAAGACTTCAAGTTGGAAAAAACTGTTAACGGAACTTGCTACTTATGAGGGCTGTCCGTAAATTAAGGACTCCAATGGCCTCTAGTCTGGGCCAATCCAGTTAGTTAGCAAGCACCGTGTTCTTTACTTCCCTCACCACTATATTCTAGCCAGTCCAGACGTTAGTAGTAGCCAATGACGATGCAAGGGAAAATTTACAATCTTGCCAAGGAGGTATAGTATTGTGAGATTAGTATTCTAGGGTCGAAGGAGTCTACTGGTATTTCAGTCCACCAGTTACCAGGTGTGATTTTGTTACTCCTGGTGTTGGCAAGGGTTAAATTAGAACTAGCATTGACTATATAGTCAGGAACTAGCTTGGTACCTATCCTAGTTAAAGGATTTTCTTACAGGATTAACTTTATCAATTTGTTTTGTATTTTTGGTTTCTAACCCCATAAGACAAATTTTGAATTGTGTTTTAGTAAGCTACTTTTAGCTAACTCATAGGTTGTTGCTAAAAGTGCTTTGATAGAGACATTTTAACAATGTTCTTCTGTGTTTAAATTTACAGTAGGTCTAACTCATTTGACCTAATGCAAGAATTTTATGCTAGGCTATTCAGCTGATTGCATGTCTATTGTAATAAAATATTGTGGGGGCTAAGAATGGGGTCTGTTGAAGGGAGATTGTAAGTATGTTATCAGTTACATTTATTCTTGTTTTATCATTGTTTTGCTTGTAATATTATTGTTGGTTTTGTATGATCTATTAAGCTCCACTTAGTTTATTATATGTTATGCAATGAGATGAAATGGTGTTGGCCGTTGATAAATAAATTCCAAAGCTTTGACTGTAAGTTAATGCCTGGTACTGATCGGCTTTGCCAAGTAGAGTTGCACAAAGCACGTAAGACAAATTTGAACTCATTCGTTGAAACAAATTTTTTTAATGTTTTGGTGTTGTTTTTACGTAGCCTATTAGGCTAGATGATTATATTTACCTTAAATTGAAACAACGTCCACATTAACCAACTTTGGTACAAGCTCATTCACAAAAAAAAAGGAAACTGTAAAAAACTTACATCTTTACAACATTCAGAT